ATAAATGAGTAATTAATAGTAAGATTGTTTTCTTGAACTCATAATTTTTTGTTGTTTTAAAATAAGTTTTCATTATATTAAACTTCACTTTTATTTACTTATGTACATAGTTTTTTTAATACAATAGAAAAGATACAATGAGATGTATCGAATTATGCGTAATTTGCTTTTTTTAAAATTAAAAGTACTTTTAAATGCTTAGATAGCATTAAGTGTAACAAAGAAATCTTTAGTACACTGTATGAATAGTGTATTAAAGTAGCATGGTTACTTATTTGTATGTACTGAAAAAGTTAAATGTGTAATTCAAATATTTAAATGAAAAGAGTTTATTTTGACTAATGGATTAATAATATGCAAGATGCTTCAAAATGAATTTTAAAGAAACTTGATAGATTATTTGAGAAACCATTCTAACAAGAAGAACACGTGAAGGGTTCTCGGATTTTGATGAAACTTTTCAGGTCGATAAGGAATCGAAAGATGTACGGCCATGTTCAGTTCTAGGTGTAGACACTCAATAGTTTACGAGATATTTAACAATAAAACTTGAATTCATCCACTGGTGCGTAAAAAATGTTTAAAATAAGCAGCCAAATCAAGCATGTCGCTATAGCTGCCTGGTAAGGGGAGGATTCGTGATTTTAACACGGTGGGTAAAAATTTTTTTCTGTTTACTCTGTTCCAATTCAATTTTCATATTACATTTCTTTTGGTAACCTTTTTAATACATAATCATATGTAAATGTTTTTTATAATTTTATATTACATACATCGCATTCTAGTAGATGATATTTATTGTAAAAGCAATTGAATCAAAAATATCATTATTCTTTTTTCTTTAGTAGATTAGATTTTGATACAAAATATTAATACAATCATAATACAAACACAGAATGTATTACGTAATAGGTGCCACGATTTTCCAGGCATTTCAGTTTTGAATAAAAGTTAATTAGGTTTCAGTTGGTTACAAATTGCAATATAAGAAACTTCCAAAAAATTGTTTCTTCAATAAAAGGCAAGGTCACTACTATACTATGACCTTGAAATGTCCCTGAATCTTGAAATGTCGGCTTAATCAAGGGAAATGTTATACGTAAAAATTATTTATTTTTATCAAATTACACATTTCAAAATGGTGAGCTTCAACAAGAAAAATATTAATCATACGTACATTACAAAAGGACCATAAACAGCGTACAAAAGTAAACATACCTTGTGTAGTGTTATAGTACCTTTGTACGTTCAATTATAATAGATGCTTGAATTGTTATAAAGTTGTTTCGTCATGAACTTCCACCATTGCCAGTACTTCCATATGACGTTCAACGTAAATACTTTGTATTTTCAACAAGGCAGATGCCCAACTCATAATGCTTAGATTGTTGGTGAATATCTAAATACAAAATTTGAAGAACGTTGGTTGGGTACGTAAGTATGGAACTATTGGCAATTGATTCGTGACGATTTCTGAATTCAAGATCACAGTATACTAGGTCGTTGAATTTGTCTTGACATCACCTATAATACTATGAACTAAAAAGTACATAGTCCCATTTAAAAAAAATGATGGTGACCTTCATTTTTTATTAAAGAGAAATGTTTTTGGCTATTTTTAAATTTGCAATTTCCTACCGACTGAGTAGTAAGTTTTGTTCACAACATTTTTTTATCAGATGATCGAAAGTGCCATAAACATTGTGGGGACTGATTGCATTATTAATACAAAAATATTTAACTATTTACTTTTCTAAACTAAAAACAGTTCTAATAAAAAAATTTCGTGCACCATATACAGGGTGTTTCGTAAAGAGTGTAACACCCGGAAATGGGGGGTTGCTGGGGTGGCTCTGAACAACTTTTTCCTTTACCAAAATGTTGGTTGAAGCTTCGTTTTTGAATTCTTAATGAAAAATACTGGCCAATCAGAGCGCGCGTAGAGCCCGCGCCCAGGCACGGAAGCGCAGAGACTCATCCGCGTGCGATCGTGAACAAACGCATTGGCACAGCGTGGGTATCGAGGGAAGCGTGCGGCAAACGATTTATTTTTTATAATATCGTCGAAAACAGTAAAAGTGGCTGTGCAGTGAAGTGAGTTCACCGACCTTGCCGTAACATCAGCTGGTTGCGGGTTACCTTGAAAGGTCAGGATCGGCACAATGACCCACTTCCGTCGAAGCAGGTTAATTCGTGGATGAATGGGTAAGTTTTTCATAAGTAATAAAACACTTTATTCCTTTCGGATAATGAATAAAAGTATCGAAAACAGTTATTAACACGTTGAGTGCCGTGGGGGCGATCGGTGGCCGGCGGTCTCAAAATTAGTAAAAGCATTTAATTTGAATAAATGGTAGTATTTGCAAAATTTTCACCTAATGCATATAACACAGCATATTTAAATAGTTTTATTTCTAACTATTGACATATTATTTATAAATAAAAAATTCTTTTCGGCACCGTGGACAAGTTACGTAGAATTGGTCCGGCATTCAACGTGGTTAAACGACTTATTAGTTTATTTGTTATTCATGAATAACGAATAATTCTAGATTATTCTTAATTTAAGACGATGTAACATTTGCCGCACGTTTCCCTCGATACCCACGCTGTGTCAATGCGTTTATTCACGATCGCGCGCGGATGAGTTCTGCGCCCCGTGCCTGGGCGCGGGCTTTGATTGGCCAGTGCTTTTCGTTAATAATTCAAAAACGAAGCTTCAACCAACATTTTGGTAAAGGAAAAAGTTGTTCACAGTCACCCCAGCAACCCCCCATTTCCGGGTGTTACACTCTTTACGAAACATCCTGTATATTTTATAAATGAGTTAAAACATTCCAAACATGTTGTTCTTTACATACATTATTAAAAGTTACTTGATTAACATTACAAAATATTTCGCTATTATTAATATATTTTGTGTGACAAAGTAGGGAGAAAATCATCCTAATTAATATTTTTCCTGCAAAAAGTAATTAAAGTGGGTTTTTCTATGAGGTGTATTTAAAAAATGTGCAGCTAGCTAATAAATGCGTGTATACTTGACGATTTAGATCAACTAAATAACATCAGTGCCAAGAATGATTTTCAAAACGTTAAAAAATCTATCATCTAGCTTCAAAAAATAAAAAATACTTTTATTTTCAAAGTTTATTATTATGTCTATTCATTATTTAATTTTAAATATTTTTGTAATCATTGATTTAGTTACAATTTAATGTTTTCCTTGTCCATAGATTTATTATAATTTAATATTCTTTATCCATATTTGTTCTATGTTCATGGTGAACGAATTGTTTTAATTTAGTTGTTTTTATGATAAATACTATCGATAAGAATGCGATGTATGTAATATAAAATTATAAAAAACAGTTACATATTCTTATGTATTAAAAAGGTTACCAAAAGAAACGTAATATGAAAATTGAATTGGAACAGAGTAAACAGAAAAAAATTTTTACCCACCGTGTTAAAATCACGAATTCTTTCCTTACCAGCTACAGCCATAGCGACATGCTTGATTTGGCTGCTTATTTTAAATATTTTTTACGCACCAGTGGATGAATTCAAGTTTTATTGTTAAATATCTCATAAACTATTGAGTATCTACACCTAGAATTGAACATGGCCATACATCTTTCGATTCCTTATCGACCTGAAAAGTTTCATCAAAATCCGAGAACACTTCGCGAGTTCTTTTTGCAAATCAAAAATTTCATATGAATGTAGATTCTATTCTCAAGATTAATATAGTTCTCCATACTTGAATGTTTTGCTGATATTATCGAAAAATCATAAGTTTGATACGAAACAACCTTTAAGAAATCAACTTTAACAAAACAAAAGTATGTGAGATAATTATTTACGATTGAATGTCACTTGATTCATTTCGTTTTTTGTGCAATATAATGGAAAATTTTAGTACAGTTAAATACGCTGATATTGTTTTTATTTGTGAGATTTGCAAAAAATTGCTTTTTTAGATACTCTTTCTGCATCGAAAAATATCTACTTGTTTCACCCTTTCGTTACGGCGAAATGTTGGTCACCAACATGATGCTGCTGTACGAATCAGATGAACCGCGAGTATATAACAAATTATAAGCAAATATATGTCAGAATAATCAAATTTAAAAAGTTGTGTAGTAATACAGTTTTGTCACAACGCTCAGCGGAGGGTGACTATAGTTACCTTTAGGATGCAGCGAGTTCCCGACGTTGAGTGATTATAGTCACCTTTAGGATGCAGTGAGCTCTCGATGTTGGGTGACTATAGTCACCATTAGTAATGAAAGGGTTAAATCAACATTATTTCCTTATCCAGTATTTGTTTGTACGTTTCAAAGACTTTTAGAGAGTGAAACAATACTTGTAGGTAATAGAGATAGTGTTATTCTTGCTGGAAAAGATCATTGGCAATGCACAAAATATGATGATACCTACATTGGTACATGACATATCACGTCAATTAAATTTATTCCATAAATTTGTTTGAGAGACAAAAACATGAGGAATATGCAAAAGTATGACAGCTTAGAGATTATGATCAATGTATAGAAGCTTATCATTAGATATTATACTAAATCACTAGTGTTCCAAATTTTATTAATGATGCTACACTTACATACATGGGGCAAAAGAAATGCTGTGTACAATTGAATCAACAACATAAGTCACTAATTCTTAACTAACTTTTTAGAAATAAAGAAAAACTTTTTTTCCTTTTGTTTTTTCAAAAATTAATGACAATATTCTTCAACATTTGTATGAAATATGTATATCTTTAGCAATGTAATAAATGAAGATGTAATTTTCTTTATCAATAGTAGTTCATGATATTTCTATTTTAACTTTTATGACTTACGTTGTTCTGCACTAAATGATATGAATTACATTAAATAAGTACTTTGAATTTGCATCATTTATTATGTCATAATATTTTTGTAGAACATAAATACGATCACATTTTTTGAGCTTTGTACTTATGTATGTTGTTTCTGCTCTCACTTTGCAGATTATTACACCTCTTTTACTATACGTTTATATATTATTTGTGTTATTTGTGCACTCATTTGATCTACAAATAACACGATTCACTGCATAACTGAATTAAAAAGAAAATTGACCTATGTTGTTACTTATGATTTTTCCAAAATCCGTATGCTACTATTATTTTTAAGTTTCAACAACTTTTTAAAATTTATATTTAGGTTGAAATTGTCAATATTTAGTTTCTTAAAATTGAAATTTCTGATAGTCATTTAAGTGCAGAATGCACATGTTTTAAAAAGTAAACTTTACAAAAAGTTAGAAGATATTCCACTTCAAATTCAAATACAAATGTGATACCAACATGATGGTGCATCACTTCATTATAGAAGGCAAATGTTAATATAACTAAATTCTCATTATTCTATCTGATAGATCGGATGTAATGGTCTTGATTTGTGGTTACCAAGATCTGAAGACCTAATTTCTTTGGATTGCTACTTATGTCAAAATATGCACCCGTAAATAATTGCACCTAAGAATTATTAAAACACCGAATGGAATTCGGATGAATAATGTATCATATAAAATTTGTTGATTCTTGGTGTAATGACTGAATTCAAGTTTAAGGTACATATTCTGAGCACTTACAATAAAATGTCACTTTATATCAAGCATATGATTTTATTATGACAAGAGTAAAACATTAAATTACCGTAACTACATTAATATTGAGTATTGCATCTATGTGACTTATATTGTTACATTCGTCTTTTTGATATAATGCAAAAAAAATGTGCGTTCTATGTAAAAATTAAAAATCACTTTTCTTATGTAAAATTTACTGCAAGTTTGAAGAAACGGGAATAACTATTCCTATTGATTATAAAAAATAATGGAACATTTTCTTACCAAAAATTTTTCCGTTTGTCGTGACATGAGAAAATATTTAAAAGGGTAAATGTAATAAAAATTAATTTATTTCTGGAAATTACATTTTCAGAAATTTCAGCATAATCGATATTTTTGTTAAATGACATAATATATTTTTACTGCTGTAATTCATTCATAGGGTGTCGCACGCAACTGGACGGAGCTATATCTTTAAAAGCGGTTAGAGATAGAAAAAATTTTTAGAAAGCAAAATAAAAATGTTGTTATGTTCTATATTTTTGCATGACTTTTATGCATTTTTGTATATTGCTATGGTTGCAAAGTATAGCTGCACTCTTTTTTTAAATGAAACTATATAATTTTTCTTGTATAAATTAATTCCTTGGGTTATTTTGCGTATAAAAATATTAGAGTTAAATGATCGAAAACTAAATAATTCACAAGGTGTTTCAACTTTCTTACTAGAATGCACTATGCAGAGCTGGAAAAATTGCACGCAAGACGGCACAGAGGTAGGAGGGGTCTTTCGCTCGCTCAGTCTTTGATGTTTACCGACACGCAATAAATTAATAGATGTGACCGTTTCGGCCGATAATAACAATGCGTATGATCTAACTTTATGAGTGTTCCGCTACAACCAACGAGACCCGCATTCCTTCCACGCGCAATTTTTCCAACTCTGCATAGTACTATACCTCTTATCTATACGACCCTATCCACGGTTCCAAACAATTTTTAAGTTATAAAAAGTGTTCTAAAGGTTCTCCACCATATTCTAAACATTTCATCATTTGAGTCTTACTATTATTACACATTTATCAAAAATCATAACTTTTATTTACTTTCAAGTATACTTATGCAAATTTATGATAAAAATCACAATGCTAGCAATATATTAGGATACTCTTTCAAAAGGACATTGTTTACGACTATAAATGTTAAACAGTTTATTTACATATTATCCAAGCCCACATCTCAAAAATTTCAGACATTGTTACGTAATGTCAAAAATTGCAGTACTATTTAAATAATACTTGTACTTGATATATTATTGCATATATTTAAAAAGTATGTGATATATTTATTCACGTAATTTCAGATCACGTAGTAGATCACCACGTGGTAAACGCAGATCACGGTCACCATACAAAAAACGAGTACCAGTAACACCATCACCACCACGTATTCGACGGACACCTTCGCCTTCCTTTTCATCCAGAGTATCTCGTAGATCGCCTGCTAATGAACGAAATGACAGAAAGAGAAGAGCTAGATCACCATCATTGTCACCACCACCTCCACCGCGTGCTTCAAAGCATAGAGTTAACAGTCCTCCTTCTCCATCGCCACGTAAACATAGACATAAGCATAAATATTAAGTTATGTTATATTATATTATGTTTTTTACATTTCTAGAAGGTAATCGGCTGACTTCGTAATGTATACATGTCAATGGACTTACAAAACAAATAGAACTACGTAGATAATATTGTTGTTCCAAAAACTAAGTTAGTACAGCACTAATGTTAATGCAACATCAATATTATGAAATACCCTTGTCTGGTTTTAAATATTTAGATGTTTCTTACTTTAATATTCTTTGCATTGATTTGATTTGTACAAATAATTATTTCTATTTGTGATGGTATACCATAAATGTGTGCATGAAAAATACAATAATAGGATTTTAAATTATCTTAAAAATATAAACTCTATATGTATATGTAAATTTATTTGTATCGCTAGCATATAATTGCATTAAGAATTATTAAAAGTATGTACAGATATGAAATTAAGAAAGAAGTGATTTTCTTACTTTGTTATATGTAGTGAAACACACGAGAATAGAATTAATTGTATAATGAGCTTTTAATTAACTGAAAAATTAGAATTCTTTTTATTTATTAAGAGATTTAAAAATAAACACTTTTATTATAAGTATTTTGACTTGAACTTCTTTTCATGTTAAATGGCACAGGGAGGCTAATTATTTAGGGTACAATAAATTTTGGCAGAGGGGCATAGGGGGTCCCCTTCATTTTTTAAAAACAGAATGGCGTATTAATTTTTTGTTATTCGAATTGCTGTCATCGAACTTAATGACATTTACTTGAAACATATATTTTTATTCTGAATAGTTAAAGAGTTATGGCGAAGAATACTTCTCTCAACAGAAATTTTGGGAAAATGTCGAAATATAATCAAAATACAGTAATGTCTCTCACATTGTCTACCAGCACGAAACCTAAACAGGACAGTTTGAGAAGCAGGGACACTGTTTTCGAGTCTCGTAGCCCGCCTTTGTAGTTTGCCAAATGAAGATAAGGACAGAGAATAACAGAAAAGGATTAAACGATTTAAACTTTTTTAATTTTACTTTTTTTTATCAGAAATTTTTTTTAACCTATTGGTGAGATTTTTCTGGTGAAAATGAGGTCAAACACGATATAATTTGAACTTTTACTTATTAATACTTATTGAGTTAATACTTCATTTTATTTCATTACATAAGGTGAGGCACCTAATTTGATCACCATATGCGGATCATATGGACCAAACTTTCGTTAATATATCGTTAATTATTAGCTCTAGAATAAACAATGTTTAATACTTTTCTACTTGGAAATTAATGAGCTTTCGAACTGCCGTAAAAAAAAATAGGGCATTCCATTTAAAAAAACAAAGTTGACTTTCAAATCTCCTAAACGCCTCCACTTATGTATAAAGAAGTCGTGTTCACCACGTGATGTCCCTCTTGATACCATGTAACTTTTGTAGAAATAATTTATTGTACAACGTATAATTCAGAAGTTATTCGAGGTGATCAAGTTAGGTGCCTCATCCTGTATATCGTTTCGGATGAATTACAAAAACGAATTGCTAGAAAAATACGTTAAATGTCTGTGCACATTTTGCGTCGAATGTGGAGGGAGAGAGACCGTTTGATGGACAATGTGAGAATCGGGACACCGTTTGGTGGACAATTGAGAATCAAGACACCATTCGGTGGATAGTCTGGGGTTACATTCGAGTAAATTAGAAGCTTGTAGCGAATGTATACTTTGATAAAAATTACATATTCAGCTTAGCAAAATTTTTGAAAAAGTTTAAAAATTTTTTCAATGTTTTTTTTTATTGTTCACAACTTTTTTATTATGTACCTTTGAGCAAAATAATTTTTTGATTCTTGATGTCAGAACTATGCGAATATTGCAAATATTGCAAATTTAAATAATATTTTTGACTATGAAACGATTACCTACGTGTCGCTACGGCACTGTCGAGTCGGCGAAGACGAGCGATGGCTGCATGGCGGCAAAACGCCGTGCACATGTTGCCGGAGAATATTTCCTCAAACTGTTCGAATTCAAAACCGTTCCGACACATTTTCTGAATGGTTTCTTCTTAAGAAATGTCTACAGAATTCAATACTGTATAGCAAATTTATGCTAAATAAAGAACTTTTCGTAAAAATGCAAAAGTATTGCGTAAAGGTACGCACATCGGCTTGCTTTTAAACTTTCATGGTCATTTACAACCATCCAAAACCACAAAATTTAATAACTGTATACGCTAATATATTCAGGACACTCTCCTCTATCTTTTAAGACTAAATGGAACTTCTTAGCGTTTTGAGTTTTCATGCAATACCTTATTTTTGTCCAAAATCGTGTGTTTTTACAAAAATCCATATTTTTCAAAAACTGAGGCTGATAAAGCAATTCTGCTTCCGGATTCGTGTTTAGAACGTAAAACTCTATAAGGATCACCCAGTGGATATTGCAGATTTTTCTGAAAGTCAAAATTTGTTGGACAGTGTTATAAGATGTCCTGCCCTATGACACAGGCGACGTACAGGATACACCTAATATCTTATAGGACTTTTTGTCCGGGACTTTGGGGTCCGAGATGACCCTTACCATTTTCCTGTCGCTACCAACGTTACCGATTCAGCATAGAATAAGATTACAACATTAGTAGTGATTGGAATTGGAATTAAACGTAACTATGAAAGTACAAATATGAAAGTACAAATAAGAAAGTAACGTAATTGTTCATTAGTAGATGATTTATCACATGCACGTGTTCTACTGTTGTCAGAAGATTGTGGACAGTTCTACCCACGCAATCCAATATATGTATTTACTTACTTTATTGCACCAAAAATTCGACGACTCTCACACCTGGACACCAGATACCCTAAGACAATAAAACAGACCTTCGACATTACCAATTTCAAACAAGCAATATAACGAATGTAAGACCAAATTCCCTACTTTCACACCATCACCAGACACACCCCAAACACGCCGAAAAACCAATCACCACATACTTCCACCACCTACGCCAGCTTCACACCACCAATCACAACACACACGTAGTTTATAAAATAGCGAACACAACACGACACGACACACAATTTTCTGACCAGTAAACTTAGAAATTCACGCTCTGTTCACGTTCATTTCCACATATGTACACAGTTTTAATAGCAAATTGTTGTGCGTTAATAATCAATCTTCCGTCCCCTATACCGAATAGATTCTTTAAATGGTCTGACTCAAAAAGGGAGACAATTATTATCGGTTTCGCGACAAGCATATTGCGATTCATAACACTTCCGAAAAAACTGAAAAAATTATGAGTTAATAAACATGGCAGACAGCTTCTACTGTAAAAATATAAATGTTAAATAAAAATAGATGTTTCATTCAAAAAGTCTGAAAAAATTCTCAGATATGTAACTCTCTGGCTATAGTATCTCAGATTTTCTTCATAATTTTTTATCGGATAGAACAAAAGAAATCAAGTATGAAATGAAAATGATGTTTAGGTCGATAATTACCCTAATAATAGGGGTAGAAACTCTTTCAATTGACGTATCACACGTTTTATTTAGTTTAGGGGCACTTTTACCATGCTTATTCGGCTAGACTCTTTTAATGTCATTAGACAAAACAGGAACCCATGCCGCATTTGAGGTAAAATTTTGAAATTTTAGTGATTTCACGTCAGTTTTGAATCTAATTGTGTTTTGTTATTTTGGAAATATCAGTAAATATTTTTGAAAAAAGTAAAATGTCTTAGATGTATAATAATAATATTTATGTGTTAGTTCCAGAAATATGTACAAAATCTTTGAATTTTATTTAGCATTAGGCTTAGCACGTCGCACTACTACACGAGTCAACTAGCAAATGGAAGCAATTAGAGATTTATATATATTTATCGCAAATTTATATATTGAAGTTTGGTTTAATGCTCCAATTCCTGCGGTAGTTCCACATCAAGATTTACGATTTTTGCAAGAACTTTCTAAATATAAAAAAAATGACGAAAACGTAAGCCGAAAATGACTAAACAATTTTGGTGGGCATTTGGAGTATCTGACGCCAGAATGTGCAGTATTATCTTTTTTTAACGTAGCTTTATCGTTTAATATAAAAAGGCGTATGTTAGAAAATTTGGAATATACAGATATAGAAGTTTCACTGAAAAAAGTTATTTTAAAAGATATGGAAAATATTACTAATATCGGTATAGACAATTTCATTTCAGCAGAAAGCTGGAGATTTTTCATTAGATTTAATATAGATATAAATTTTTTTACAGAAAGACCTATCGGTTTGGGAAAACGATGATTCGTATAAAGCAGGGTTAGAAATAGTAAAAAATTTGAAAATAGTTAATGACGTTGCAGAGCGAGGCGTAAAGCTGATATCGGAATATAATAACATACTAACAAAAGACGAAGAAAATACACAATACCTATGTATATGTTACAAATATTAGAAGAGTTCCGTAAATGTTACCCTGATGCAACTAAATCAAGCTTCACAAAAGACATGTTAACAAATATGTATTATTTTAATTTATATTAAGTGCATTTTCTGTTTACTCTTCATTATATACCAATAAGTTAAGCTTTAAAAATACTTTGTTCTGTTGATTTGTTTTTTGATCTGTTACGTACGCAGACTAGCCGACACAGCAGCGCCGAGACTTCCGCCTAGCGCGCACCCCCTAAAAGGCCCTTGAGATAAGGTAAACGAACGCATTCCGTTCTCACGAAAATCTAGGGCCTCCACCACCAAAAAACCACGATTTTTGGTGTATATAAGGGCACGATTTCTGATGCTCTGAGTCAGAGAAGCTCAATATTTTTTCATTCTACCGCTCTGGAGTAGTTCCATCATCATTCAACACTTGGGCTCAGTCTTCTGAGTCTTGAGCTGTCCTTGCTACCGTGAAGACGTGCCTATGAGACACCGCGCGCGCGCGCCCGCAACAGCGGACCGGCAATCATACCGGCCCTCGTCAATACGTGTATCGCAGATCCAGCTGATCTGCGGATTCAAGTGTTCACCCAAGGAATCTTCTACAACCACTCTCCACTGGTCTCTCTGGATGCAATTAACGTGGGTACCTGGCGGTCCGGAAGCTGGATAGCCAACGGTCGA